ACTCCCCTGGCACCGGGGTCTTCCAAGGCTGCGCAATCAGAGTCCACAGGCAGCAAATCTTCTGGCCACAACATCCAAGTCCACTGGCCAAGTTCACCCCTCCTGGCACCCCCAGGGAATGTTCCACCACGTTCCTCCACGAGTGCAGGGGCACAGCTGCCATCTCGCCATGGGCTGCAGGGAAACTTCTGCTAGGGCACCTTCTTCCCCTTCTTCCCCACCAGCACCGCTCTCCTTCCCCAGCACCGCTTTTCTCCTCCAGCAGAGCTCTTCCTTCAGGCGTTATAGCCGTTCTTTTGTATGTTAATCGCAGAGGCGCATCTATTGTCCCTCTAATGGCTCCTTGGCTGGGTTTTGAAAGCAGGGGAGCTTCTCAGCTTCTTACCGGAGCCACTCCTGGGGCCCTGCCCCCGCTACCAAAACAACCCCACCAAACCCAACCAGAACGTTTACATAATTCTGAATACTTGTACTAGTGCAAAGATTGCAATGTAAGTGTGAAACTGGAAAAATTGAAAGAAAGGGGGAAGAGGGAAAGTTTTTTTGAAGACAAAGTATTTTGAGAAAAAGCTGGCCCTGGAATGTTTGGAAAAGCTTGACAAAGTGTGACTTTATTTTCTATGGAAAAAAGTCACACTCTTACCTGGAAACAGGGGGGTCTTTAAGCTTGATGCTGGCAAATTGTGGTAACCTTATTAACTGTTAATACATCCCATTCAGGTTTCCAAGGCCAAAGGAGGATATACTGATGTGTTATGGCAGCATAGGTTAGGTTTTCTTCTGCTTTCTGAACAGATTTTTATAATCTCTCTAGAGTCATGATTTGTAGAACGATTGGGGATTTGGTAGAGATCTTATGTAATGCATATTGCCAGCTAGAGTAATGAAATTTAGTATCTTTTGTAGTATTTCAAATTAATCTCTTCTGCTTTTCCTTACCATCTTCCTTCTGAATATTGTCCTTCTGCCTTCTGTTCAGTCTAGCATGTGATGAAGTCAATGCTGGGTACTGTGACCCAGTATTTGTAATGCCCAGATTTGAGAATGAATGAAGGCAGCAGGACCCCCTGTCTGTTTATTCAGCCTGGGGTGGACCTCTGCACTGTGATCCCTTGAGTGTCAGTTCCAGCATTAGTTTGGACAAACTGATCTCAAATTAATTTCTCCCAGCCTTCTTTTCTAACACAAAAACAGAAAGACCACCTGACTTACATTAAATGTGGAATACAATTCTTGGCTCACTACAATTTGTCAGGAAATAAAGGCATCTTCAGAAAACTAAGTATTATGTTTTGTATACTTGTGAATATAAGTTAAAGCAAAAACAGAATTCTGTGCTGATATTTTTTTTTCCCAAGATCATATTGATTTGTAGTTCAACACTAAGTTTGGAGTGAGAATTGGTTTTAGTTATAATGAACAAATAGTGCAAGAAAGATGTATTATGTGGATACTTTTTTTGCTTTGTGTCCTGGGTGCACACCCCTCCCTCCACCCCTGCCACCTCCATCCCCAAAAAATTGCTGGCATATTTATTTTCAGGTAATGTAGCAGCAATGTTCAAACTCTTATTCCCTGTTTTTTGATAATAGTCCCATTGTTGAAACAGTCTTCATACTGATTAGTTTTTTAGTTAGATTTTTTTAGACTGTTTTTCTATTACTAGGTTGTCTTAACAGACTGAGTCATATCACCATGCGACATAAGGCCTAATTTTGTACAAGAGCAGCATGCTAAGTTTATTTTACACCTTTTTAATCAGATGACAGAGAAAGTTCCGGGTGCCATATTTCAACTATATCTGTCTTGCATCTTATAGTGTATGAGTGAAGATCTTAGCATAATTATTTATATAAATTAAGATATTATTTAGTTCCATTTTTCATGATTATTTTTTTCTTTTCCCTTTCAATAACTTGACTTTGTCTTTCAGCAGATATGTGTTAGAAGATCATCTAAAATAATGTGTTGCAATAGGTTAGTATTCATAGAATAGCTTAGGGTGCAGAAAGAACTTAAAATTAGCTTTAAACTATTTGCCACAACTTGTGCATTTTTGAGGATTTTCCATAAATGCCAATTAATTAGATTTTTTTTTAATACAAGAATTGCAGTGCACGTATGCCTGTAAAAGGGAAAAACTTTGTAGCTGTATGGTTTCAATGTGTGTCTTTAACTGAAAAATCACCTGTTGATGATCAGTCCTAATTTAAGCATGCATTATGCTGCAATACAATTTAATCATACAAGACATTTTCTGTGACTTTGAGCTGTGTTTTTACATAGTACGTTCTTCAGCATTTAGTAGGAATGCTAAAATGAATTTATGTGTATAATTTTTTTCCAAGGGGGGGAAAAAAAAAAGTAAGACTGGGAGTATGTGTTAAGGAAACTCATTCTAGCAATGTTATTATTAGGATGATGTTTTCTCAAAACTGAACGTTGCCAACAATCAAAATTAAAGTTGCATTTAAAATAAATTCTTAAGTATTTTAAGGTATGGAAACACAGAGTGGAGCCATAAATCTGCTGCTTATGACAACATTGTAATAAATATACAAGAAAATATTTTAGTGTTAATAGCCACAGACTTAATTTCAGCTCCTTTTTAGGCTAAATATTGGGGGGCTATTTTTCCTCATTACATAATTTTAGGCAGACATTATCTTTATGGAAACTTTGGAGACACTGCTGTGGTGGGATTTTTTTTGTTTGTTGTTTTTTTTTCTGTTGGTTGGTTAGGGTTTTTCTTGTGTGTTGGTTGTTTTGGTTTTTGGGGGGGGGAAGAGGAGAGTTTGTGGGAGTTAGTTTTGATTTGTTTTTTTGAGTTATCTAGACTGTATCCTCCATGTTAGACACACCCCCCCCCCCCGGGTTGGATAACTGTTACTTATTTTTTTTTAGGGTTTTTTCAATGGCATTAAAAATTGATTACTTGTTTGTTGTTTTTTTTTCTGTTGGTTGGTTAGGGTTTTTCTTGTGTGTTGGTTGTTTTGGTTTTTGGGGGGGGGAAGAGGAGAGTTTGTGGGAGTTAGTTTTGATTTGTTTTTTTGAGTTATCTAGACTGTATCCTCCATGTTAGACACACCCCCCCCCCCGGGATAGATAACTGTTACATAATATTTTTTAGGGTTTTTTAAATGGCATTAAAAATTGATTAATTTTTGTATTTTTTGTCATTCTTTTAAACCAAAACCTACTGCATCTCTGGTTTTAAATGTGTTTTAAATTTAGGGAGGAGAAAACAAATAGTTATGTCTTTGTATTTTAAAAGTGCAATTTGTGCTTTAAGCATAAAATGAAACTTTGTATAGTTCATATTCATGCAGGCACATTCTATCATCTTTCTGTACATGAATGTTAAGGGCTACTAGTTTGACTAACTACTACCTAGCTGTGGTGAGAGTGGCTGTGAGAGGCAAGCTTGCAGTGGATATGCAGGGATCTACCTCCAACACAAAACCACTCGAGTTCTTCCTCTGCACCAGGCAACCAGTGTCTATTTAAACAAATTTTGCAGGAGTTGAGGAGTCCCCTTCTGTTACTCGGGGCAACGAAATGTCCGCTGTACTGAAGTATAAAGGTCTCTGATTTTTATTTTTTTCAGCACAACACAGGATTTATATTCTTGCTCTGGGCTAGGTTGTGTGCGCTAAAATGTATTTTGAATGCAGCACTTTATACCTACTGGGAGCTAGTAACGACTGCATTCCTGGGGGATTATCACATCTCTGCAGGGGAGAGGGGAAAAAAGGGTGACAGCTTTGCTTGTGTGAATATTGCAGTAATTGAAATCGGTGATTGTAATTCAAGGATTGATGGCTCCCAAACATTACTGTCAGCCTTCTATCTAAACTTTGGTTTAAAGTATTTGCATTACTGATGTGCTTTTACCCATGGCTGTGGATCAGTTCCTATTACTTCCCAAGCTGCAGTGTGCACGTTAATTCTGACGCTGTTTTAGCTGCAAGACATTAATTTCTGTCATTAAAACAATCTGGTTAAAAGTCATAAGTTTTTGTGTACATACATAGGGAATATAAACCGTTATACACCTTACTATGGGGGTGCCTACTTGTTTAGGTCACCCATTCTTGCAAGAGTGTAAATAAACTGTGCTTCGTTGAAGGATCTGTGTGGGCCTGTTCATTGGCACGACAAACGTTTCTCACACATGGTTTGAGAGGAGCTCTGTCTGTGTGACTGCATTGGTTGTATCAAGTGATAGAAGTTCAGGAGAAGCAGAGGACATTGCTTTTTGCTGGGTGGTCACCATGCTGCCCAGTGTCATACACCTGTCTGCTGAGAAATATATATGCTCATCCATTGCAATCAGCTGGGCTGCTTGTTTCAGCCTGTTTAAATTGCCTGCACTGCTGAATGTGCTGCCATATTTTGCCTCTCCCTTACCTTTCTATGCTGCTTACTTTCTGAGCTCTTTAAAGTAGGAATTGCCTTTGTCATCCCTCCCTACATTGTCTATTTAAGATATTACTTTTTCATAATTTTAGAGTGGAAGAATCAATGACTGAACCTGTTTAAAAAATACAGAATTTTAATGATCCTTTTTCACTATCCCTATTTGTGTAAGTCTGAATCCACAAAAGAGTTTCTTCACATAAATGTTTCTTCCTACTCAGATTCTTCAACAGATGCAGGACTCCATTACAAGAGCAGAATTTCTGATCACACTGAAAAGGTTTGAGAAGAGAATCAGCCTGAAACTTAGGAAATACTGTGGATTTATTCCATTCTCCCTTACACCAGATTTATACTAGTGGCATTACAGAGATCCTATTTGACTAATCAGATGTCAATTTATTTCAGTTGACAATGCAGGAAAGGGAAAGAAGCATTGGTAAGCAGATAGGCATTTTTCTGAATCGATCACTCACCTCATTACCCTCCTCCTTTCCATATACTCCTGTTTTAAAATATTTTTTAAAAATACAGGTTGATCTCTCTGATTTCACATAATCTTCTTCTTTGTGTTTCTCCAGTATATCCCATCTCTGCTAAGGGTTTCACTGCAGTTCCAAGTCTTGTTAAAGAGGACTCAGAATGACTGTGCTTAGAGTGATAATTGCTGGACCTATAGGCTGGCTCCAAGACAGGACACATCCTTAACCACGTAGATAACTGTCCTGGTTTGAGCCAGGATTAAGCTAATTTTCCTTTTACTGATTTTTTTTTTCCTTCAGTAAGCTTTCTTTTGACTAGTACCAGTGTTCCAATCAAGACTGATAACAGTGGAATGTTTTTCTAACTGCTGGGTCTTCAAGGCCGCACCTTCACTCTGCCAGCTCAGACTGATCTGAGGAAAGCCAGATGGCCTCCCTTGGTAGAAAGGACTAACACATAAGGAGTAAACAGGAGGGCACTGCTTAGCATAGATAAGGCTTGGAATGCATAGATAAGGCCTGAAGTGTGAAGGAAGGTATTGTGTGGGAGGATGCTCCCACAGAAACTTGCAGAGAAGACAAGACCCTGGTGCAGGCCCCAGGAAAGAATGCCAAGAGGTGAAAAGTGCACAGCGAGGAAGACATACGGCCTTCATCCCAAAGACCCCTGCCCACGACCACCAGAAGATACTGCGCAAGTGCAACAAGGAGGAGCTCGGGGGGGCAACTATGCTAATGATTAATTGTAATAACCCCTCCCTATCCTCGGACACCTAATGTATATGCAGCAGTATAGATGAATATGTATTACTTTGTGGCATATAATGACCTTGCCAATAGTCCTAGGGTGTGCACGCTTGTGGAGGAGCGATCCCCCGTGCACCCAGCGCTGAATAAACATACCTTCTTTATAACCTTATTGGTTCTAAAGTCGTTATTCCGCACGTCAAGACACTATGGGGAGATCTCTGTGACCCCCCCGTAGGAGGCTGAGTTAGACAGACAGCAAAACTGGCCAGAGATATTCCATTCCATATATCTACGTAAGCTCAAAGGAAGGTCAGAGATCACAGAAGACAACTTCCTTCCTTCTTCTTCTCCCCTTCTCTTCCGTCCATGGCCGGCGTCCAGGGAGGACTCTGTTCATCCATCACCGTTGACCCTTAGGCTCGAGCTCTCGCGACCCTCATCACTCTGTGCTTTCTCCAGCAGCAGCTCCAGGATTCCTCGGGACTGTTCCAGCTCAGGGGAGTGCTGTGGGAGTTGCTGGGGGTGGGGGGAGGCAAGAGACTTCTGCACATACCTGAACACATTTCTATATAATTGTATATATTTTCTTGCATCATTTATTAGTGTTTAATTAAAGCTGTGTAGTTTAGTTTTCAATCCAGCCAAGTCTCTCTCTTTTTCTCTCTCTCCTTCCCTACCTGGGTGGGAGGGGGAAGGAATTGAGAGAACTGTTGTCAGACCTGAGTCAAACGGTGCCAATAACAACAGGAAGTGGAATGCCCCAAGTCAGATAAGCCAGTGCTTGATAAATCTTTAAATCAAACCCCTAAGCCAAAACACCCCTTATCGAATTTAATCCCCAGACAATGTAACTTCATCTTAACCTGGAGTGTTTAAATATTCTCTGTGTGCTAGTTTCTTGGCATGAGCCTGCTAGCATCCGATCCTGCACAGGATTATAATAGACTTTATATCTAGTCTCTGTGTGTGGATTGGAGTTTGATCACCAGATAAAGAATCCAGTTTTGGGACAACATTCTAAGAGGCATAAATCCAGGATTTAGGTAGTTTTATTCCTCTATCAAATAATGTAGCAATGTTCCTTTTTGGGGCGTGCACTACAGGACCTGGATACTCTAGGCACTGTGCATAGACCTAGTCCACATGCTGTCCTACCACTCTGGGAAGACAGTTCAGAGCATGAGGATGAAAGGAACTGTGCTGGTTCGGTTATGGCACGGATTCGTAGTGGGGGGATAGCCCCAGGAGTGGCTCTTGTAAGAAGCTACTAAAAGCTCCCCCAGCTCAGGTAGAAGAAAGACAATAGCTACGCCTCCACGATTAACATATGAAAGAACCGATATAGGATCTGAGCAGAGGGCAAGCAGGGGAAAAAGAGCTGTGCTGGAGAGGTGAAAGGCAGTGACTGGGGTGAAAATCTGGAGACTGCTGAAGAAGGGGGAAGAAGGTGCCCAAGTAGAAGTTTTACAGAATCACAGAATCACCAAGGCTGGAAAAGACCTTTAAGATCATCAAGTCCAGCCTATGACCAACACCACC